CTCAAGGCGAGGCCAGGTGGACCAGGCAGCCGTTGGTCCATGTGTTGCCCACCCCTGGTCTAAGGTCGTAGGGCTTTCATGAGTTCAGAAAATGAAATTCAAAACTAGGGAGTGGCAAAAAGGCAGGCGTGACTTGCCTTTCAGTCCCTGGCCTTCTCCAGTGCTGCCAGCTGATAGCAGGTGTTCCTCCACCATCTCAACACATGCGTACAAAAGCACAAATCACTGGTTTAATGGCCTTAGCCTTCAAGTTGCAAAGGCTTGGCATATTGCATCTTCTGCGTTCTGCAAAATGTCAGGCTAGAATTTTTGTTGTGATCTTAGCTAAGCTTAGCCTCTTCAGGGGAACAAGGATTCCAAGCATTTGGCACCTGCCCCTGCATGGAGGAGCCACACGTGTTCCTGCGCAGGCTGGCTGTACCTGCCTGGCTGGCCTGGTGTGTCATCACCCAGCCATCTGCATCAGACATGCTAAACTTAGATTATTGTGTCACAATCTGGTGCTGCTCAGATGTTTTGGACTGCAGCTCACAACATTCCTGGACATTGGCCATGCCAGCTGAAGATGCTAAAAGTCGGTCCTAGAAGTTGGGGAGGCCTGGTTTATGCTTCTGTAACATGTACTAAGTAGGTTGCCCTTGCAGCGTTCAGAAACTTCAGCTAGGGCAAAATGTGGCCCTGTGAGAGTTGTCTGCCATGCACTTTAGAGACCATATATCACTTGGATCAACTGCAGTGAGATGAATTCAAGATGCTGGTTTTCACCTCCAGAGCCCTAAGCAGCTTGGATCCTATGTATCTGTAAGATTGCCTTCTCCTGTATGTATCTGCCCATAAATCGAGGTCCTGCTACATGTCATACCACCAGGGGAGGCTAACTTGGGAAACACACAAGACAGGGCTTTTCAGAAGCAGCACCCCAACAGTGGAACCCCAAGGAGGTCAGGTTGGTTCCATGTCCATTGGGTCTCAGGCAGGTAGTGAAAAAGCCCATCCGTCTGCCAGACTTTGGCTTTTGACGCTGTTATGGCCTGTATCTGAGAATGTTTTCTCTTAGTTCTTATGCTGCTTTGATTGTATTGCACTGGATTGTATGGTATTGTATGTAGCCGTACATTGCTTTGAAAGCCCCGTGGTAGGTACAGAAGCCATTCATAAGTGTTCTTAATAAAATACATACAAACCAGGATGCTGAGAGCTCAGTGCTCTGCTCCTACTGTTGAAAAGGTCATGTATTACTGTGGAAGGCCAGCTGGAGCTGGAGTGTGATGGTGTTCCACATGCGGGGCTGCTTTTGCCATGCAGTACCCAGTGATATGCCCCTGTGTGCAGGAAGGCAGCCTTGCAGAACCAAAGCAGAGGCTCCTTGATCTATCGTGAATGGGTGGACCCTGCTGGGATATGAGGAAACGGAGCAAAGGGGACCAGTGGAAGCTGGAAAGGAAGCTAAACTTCCGGACATCAAGGCCCCACAGAAAGGACTTCCAGCCTCTTTGGCTGCATAAAGGAAGGGAGGGAGTACAGATAAGAAGTGGGTTGGGGTTTTTTTGAATTACAGCAAGATGTTCTACCAATGGAACCAGATTCAAGGAAAAGAAGGGAACGCCTTTCCCTTTGGCTGAAACCGGATGAGTGGAGAGGACCCGTTCCCCGATGCTGCATTAAGACAGACAAAGACGGCATGGCCCAGTTGATCCTTTCTGAGATCTGGCTCTTAGCACAAGGTTCCTGACTTACATCTCCATGAATGACTCTGACATTCCTTCTCTGTAAACAGATATGCTCACCGCAAAGGCGACAAAAGAGACTGGTTATCAGGATAGATTGGGGAGGAGTGTCCTTTGCCAGCCCTGAACTCTGAAAATAACTGCAGACTTTCATTTCTTTTCTTTAAAATAAGAGTAACCTTTTGCTACTTTGCCTCCTATATACCTTGGTGTAAAGGGTGACTAGAAAAGAATAAAAAGGACAAAAGAGGGTACCAATTTGCATAACATGTCCATATGCCAATTTATGTAGATAGGTGCAATTTTTAAACAAATATTGACATTGAAATAGAAATGCAGCCTCTCTCGCCATGGAAAGCCCCTGTGCCTGGCTCAGTCCGCTCTGCAGGTGCTATTGATGGGCAGCTTCAAGTCTCAGGTTTTCCTGTCATGATGGTTCTTTATCTTTCACCTGACCTCAGAGAGGAAGGCCATCAAATAGCAAACACTTTCAGAATAGGGGACAGTCAACTGGCAGCCCTTCAAAATGATGATTTTCCTCTGCAAAAAGGAGTCATAGCTACCCTGTGTAAGCCAGGAACTTTTTAAAATACATAGTGCTTGGCCTAGCCTAACTAAATCTGCTTAACTCTACTCAGTTTTGTCTGTCTTATCTACTCACCTTCTCCACATCAACTTAAGATTATTACAAAATGTGGCTTGTGTCTTTTCCATATATACAGTGGTGTTTTTCTCTCCCCACCGCTCTGCTCCCAGTGGTGCCTCAAGGCAGGACTTTGGGACAGAATGAACGAGAGGGTGAAGGAGAATGAATGGAATGGGGCTGGCTGAACACCAGTGGAAATACTAGGGGGCAGCCCATGAGGGGAAATACTAGGGGAAGCCCCCCCCCCCCGCTCTCCATGGGCACTTGCAAAACAAAGGAACGGGGGGGCGGGGTGAGGATCTCATTGCACCTGATCTCCCTGGATCAGGTGGCTTTTTGCCCACATGTGTCAGAGGAGGCTAAAGCTGATTTATCAGCTATGACCCTGTCTGGACAGACAGAACCTGGCAATGGTGATCCACATGCTGGTAACCTCTTGCTGGGATCATTGCAATGTTCTCTCCTGGGGGCTTCCATTGAAGATGGTCCAGAAACTTCACTTGGTCCAACAGGGCAGTGAGCCTGCTGACAAGGACTGGCGGATCACCTCAGGTCAGTCCTCTGCCACTTTCACTGGTGACCAGTTGAAGTTTGGGCCGAATTCAAGGTGTGGCTCTTGTGTGTAAAGCCCTACATGGGGCCAGGGTATCTAACAGCGCACCTCTTCCCACACGTGCCAGTCTGGCCCTTACTGCATCATGAGAGGCCTTCCCAGGAAGCCTCCTCCTTGGGAAGTAAGGAGGGAGGCTGCAAGAAGGGCCTTTTTGGCAGTCAGAATCGCACCCAGTCTTGGAACCTGCTACTCAGACAGGTTCACCTGATCCCCACTTTGTATCTTTCTGGCCCCAAGCAAAGACCTTTTTCCTAATATTTTAATTCTTGGAATGATTTTAATGGTTTTAATATTTTAAATCTGGTTGTTACCTGTTGTGGCTTTCATGTTGGTTTTGTATAATCTATGGCCATGAAGTTTCCACAAAGGCATCTCTTTGCTTGTGGTTTCTTAGATTTTGTTAATTGTTATTTTTAGTTGTATTTTAGTGTATATTTTTTAACTTTGCAACCAGCCCCGGCAGCCTTATGGCTCATGGGGTGGGATAAAAATCCAAGAAATACCCTAAGTAAATGCACTCTCCCTCCCGCTGCGCCCTACCTTGACTCTTTCCGCTCTCCCTTCTCCTGGCCATTCATCCCTTTGTACAAATAGGAGCCATCCTTAGGCCTTTAAAGACACACACACAGATTTGCACACGTGCGTTGTGCATATGCAGATATGTGCTGTTCTGCCCGGTGTACCTCTCCCTATACCTCCAGTACCTACATGTCAGAGCAAGTGGCAGAACGTTTCTTTCCATCTCAAGCGTGGGGGCCTTGATTGAAACCACAATGGCTGCAGCACTGCTTTCCCCTCCCACCTCCGCACCAACCCAATTTGCTTAACATCCAATCTGAAGAAAGGCTCAGGTGAATTCAGACTCTCGCTTCAGTCGGTCCTTTAAAAGGGGGTCGCAAGTACGGTTGCTTGTTATGCCTTTGGCTTCCCAAAGAGGGCGCGCTGCACAGAGAGTTCTGGTCTCTTTCGAAGAACTTGAACAGAGGCTGCTTGGAACGGCTCGAATTGCATTGCGCTCCTTCCGGACAGTGCTGTGTGTTCCGACAGTTTCTACCCTGCGCCGGGGGAGACAACTTCCGACAAAAGCAGGGCTCGCACAGAACAGGTATGTGTGGGGTGGATAAAGCTGGGGCAGTGACTTCCTGGCTAGCTGGCTGCAAGAGTCACGGCGTACGGGTTTGTAGATGGGGTTCTGTGCACCAGCTCAGCTACAAACTTGGGGCATGGATTTGTCTGTGTGACTCGGGTGATGTCGGTCACAACCCAGTCAAGAGAAGACTCTGGTATCTTCCAGCTCGGCATCCTGGAGTAGCTGTGGTTGTCCTGGGCTCTGGGGACGGCCGGCATTCTCCGCGCTGTGGAAGCCGCAGTGCAAGGGTTGTCCGTGGATCTGTGGAGCGCTGGTGCATCGCCGTATCCGCCGTTGACAGGAAGACCCTGGCAACTCCAGGAGGCAGCTGTGGCACATGGACGGGAGTAAAGGCAGTTAGTTGAGTAGCCTCCTCCACTGTAGCAGGCGGGGAGGGGGGTTCCTTCTGCAAGATGGCCAAAGCTTTTCCTTGGAAGGATTTGGTTGTTTGCCAGAAGGCAGTTCTGAGTCCCACGTAAGGCTTAGTGGCACCTCCTGCACGGCCCATGTCATTTTCTTATAAAAGCAGTGATTTAGCTGCACGCTTCTCTCCCCACCCTGCCATCATAGCTAGCAGGCCACCTCTGCCCTCACTCCACCATGATCTGATGAGATCTCTAAGATGAGCCAAGAGCACAAGGCCAGCTCTGTCAGAGCCGGTCCCTAGGATAAGGATGGGTAGCTGAAGGGACGTGTTTCTGAAATACCCAGAGGAGCTGCGCTCAGGAAAGTTCCTTCACTTTCAGACCTCATTTCATTTAGAGAAAAGGTGAGTAAGGGGAGGCATGACAGAGGGAGGAAGATTTGTGCCTGGTGTGGAGAAAGTTGGTAGAGAGATGCCTTTGACCCCCAACTAAGAGGGGGTCAAAGGCATCTCCTTTTCCTATTCTACGAGAACCAGGGTCATCCCTTGATGCTGACGGGTGGGAGATGCAGGGCAGGTAAAGGGAAGTTCTTCATGCAGAGCATAGTGAAACCATGGAATTCACCAGCATAAGATGCAATGCTGGTCACCGGTTTGGACAGCTTTAAAGGGGGGGCTGGACAAATCAATAGGGGTGGAGGCAATCAATGGCCGCTGTTCCTGATGGCTATATGCCACCCCCTGGATCAGAGGCAGTATGCCAGTGCACACCAGTTGCTGGGGAACATGGGTGGGGTGCTGCTGCTCTGGTGTCCTGCTTGTGGGCGTCTCACGTTGGTAACTGTGTGAACAGAATCCTGGACTCGGGGGGTCCTGCTCTGACACAGCAGGGCTGCTCTTCTTGTTTTCTTGGGTAGCATCTGTCAGCCTGTCCTGTTTATCTTGGTCACCTGGGTTCAGAATCTAAGTTCAAGTTGTGCTGGGTAGGAGTAATGGAACTCTGACGGTGGCAGCACTCTGCGTGTACTCAGAGACTACTTTATCAGTTGCAGTTCCAGGTCACTGGAGTTCAACCAGTGGGTCAGGCCAGACCTGCAGTGGGTTGCATTAATGGCATCAACTCCCTTTTCTGTCTTAGTTGGCGGGGTGGGAGGGAGGTTTTGGATTTCCTCTGGAACAGAAGGAAAGAGATCAGGAGAATGAAAGGTGGCACAAAGGAGGACAGAGTTTTGCATCTCTCATCACTGTATTCAAGAGGATGTTTATTAGGTGTGGCTTTCTCACTCCCATGTGATGAACTGACTCTGTAATGGCAAACCGTCCTTTTCTGCAGTTCATAAAAATATAGCAGTCCTGCGCACCCTAAAATGATGAGGAGAGAGAAATAGACGTACATTTTATAAAAATTAAGTGGTGCTTATGGTACAGTTTGCGAATAAAGGGAGGTCTGGGGCTTGCAAAGACCCGAGGCTCCTCAGCCGGAGAAGGAAGAAAATAACTCCATTGTAGTCTGCATTGTTCTAAGTTTTCAGAAGCCTTCTCCCCTCCTCTCCCCCCTGCCTTCCTCCACCTCCAGAGGCAGGGTTTCCTCCTCCTCCCTTGGAGTCTGTGTGGCTTTGACTCACCCTGGGAGCAGCAGGAACTGGGGCGGTGATGTCAGGCTACGAGCAAGGAAATGTGGGAGGAGATACACCGCCTCGTCCGTCCGTCCATCCGGCTGCCCCGAAACTCTTGCTCCTGCCGCAGTTCATGGGACAAGGATGAGAAGCGGCGGCGGCAGCTGCCAGTGGGATGCAAGGACAGTCTCTGCTCCCCAGGGCAGGTGATGCCCAAGCCTCAGCATCAGGATGAAGGGGAAATACAAAGGTAATGTCTTTTCTGCCTGGCCTGTGCAATAGAATCTGGAGAAAAGGAAGTGGATTCCTAGCTGTTGTAGCATCTGTCATGGACAAGAGGCTGATTAGCAAAGAAATTCTCCCCTTCAAATATGTCATTGGCTGGGAACCTGGAAAACTGGCCTTAGGCGGAGCTGCGACTATTTAGCCTCCCCCTAATTTACAACAATGGGATTATCCCAACCTACCTGATGGGGGAGGGGGGTTCTCACTTTTTAAAGGGCTGCTCAAGTAATGCATGTGAAGTATTTATAAATCTCTCAATGATGAGTAGTAAGTATTAAATGTGGGAGCTGGGCAGCATTTTGAGCCTGAGAGGGGGCATTAGAGGGAATGATTGGGCTCATTTTAGGCTGTTAATAAGGAAAGGAAGGCTTGGAAAGGGCCCCTGCGACTGTGGGGGAGCCAGGGAGGGGCTTTCTCTGCCTCCAGAACAAGTTACCAGGAGCCAATGCCATGAATGTTTGTCTGGCAGGTTAAAATATCTATTGTGGCAAGAGTGTTACTGACTTTGCATCTGGCTTAGTAATGAAATATGGAAACTTCACAATTATTTCAATGTTTGTATGCCTACATGCTTCTACTTTGTGAGCCACCTTGTTATTGGAAAAGAAGTTATAAAATAATAAAATGATGGGAATACCTTGCTCTGGGTAAGCTGCTCGGGCCTCGGAACAATTTCAGAGGAGGTTTCATTCACATTCTCTGGATTCGGGGCACAGAGATGCTCCTCCTTGGCTGAGACAGGGGCTTGCAGTCCACCTTGTGCTTCTGCCATCTTGGAAGCTGCCTGTACCAGATACCCCAAAATTGGCTAGGGTCAATCGACAGAAGGTCAACTAGAAAAACCACAGCAGGGGAACTTGTCTGGTGTCCAGGAAAGGACGTTTTATAGCCATAATAAATTGGCTAACCTTTTAAGTTGCCACAAGGGTCTTTGTTAGGCCTTGTTGGGCAGGGGTAAATATTGAATGTTTCTGGATACCGCATTCCCTCACCTCATGGCCCTGTATAATATCTAGTTGTGCCACCTTGACGCATTGTAGAGGTGCTGGTGATACGAGCCCTTCTCCCTTCCTGGCACTGTCAGATGGTGCGCAGGACGCCTGAGCGGTTATCCAAAGCGCTTGGCAAATGCTGGGATGGGTGTGATTCAGGCAAATGCAGGGCAACATGATGGTGGTGCTAGGCTGGAAGAAGAAAGACTCAAAGCAACATTGTGGTTTGAGCGTTCACATCTACACCAGGGCGGCTTGGGTTCAAATCCCTGCTCGACCACAGAAGATACCAGCTGCCTTTCCTTAAAACTCTCGACTTCCTTCCAGAGCTGTGCAGATGAAAAAAACATCTCGCTGAACTCTTGAGAGGTAACGTGATACACCTGACCAACGGGGCAGGGCTCCTTTGATGGCTGCACCAGGGTTGCGGTGATGGTGTTGAGGAAGGCAGGGACACTGAGCAGGGAAGGCAGGGCTTGTGAGCAGGGAAGTATCCAGATTCTTCCTGGCATGTTTGTTTCGCACTGGTCATTCCCAAGGCTCTGTATTTGCCCATGCCACGAGCCCGGACTGTTGTGCTGGGTGCAGCACCAGCTTGCAGAGAATCTCAGCTTTTACCGTGTGTGTGAGGAGGAGCGAGAGTCTAGCCCTTACGACTGAAAAGACGCTTGGACATGTATAAGTGATACCTGCTGCCATGGGATAAGACCAAGAAACGGGACTTCAGTGTTCTACTTTTTTATTTATTGGCACCATTCCTATCCTGCCTTTTGACTGAGAAGCCTCCTAGGCAGCTTACAATGTAGTATTACAAAGAAACACGAGTATTAAGCAAGACTACAAGACAATGAATGAGTAGGTAGTGTGCCACAGTTTTATTATGTTGACAGCACTGGGTGGCTGTAGGCATCAGGGGTTCAGCTCTTTTAATCACAGGTTTCGCTAACAGTTGTCAGGGTTAACAACAGATAGACCCGTTTGCACAACCCCACAGTCCACTGTACCTTAATTTGCCCACGAGGGCTGTTTCATTGTGCCAGACACCCGTAGGCATATTTTTTACAATGCCTAACTTGCCATGGCTTGTTAGGTCATGTGAACCAACCTGAAAGAGGCTGTTTAACAGACAATACTCGGATAACACCAAAACAAGCCATGGGTTGCTTGAGGTTTGTCTAACCCCTCAAACAGCCCATGCTGTCTGAGCTTGCATGACACACACATTGGCAAGTCGGGCACCTATGAGAGCCTGGCACGATGCGACAATCCCCACGGGTAAGTTAAACTCTCTATGGCTTGGCTTGTGTCACACAATAGCTCACTGCAGCTTATTTTAGGAGCCACGAGAAAACAAATCCACAGTCAGCTGAAGTCAGGGGTGAATGGGATTAGTGCAAAGAATCTCAGCCCCATTCTGAGGTGCCACCACAGAGAAAGCCCTGATGGACACTTCAGCTTCAAAGGCAGGAACACTCGGAGGATGGCCCATGTAGGAAGGGCCAATTCCAAACCAGACAGGGGCCTAGCGAAAGCGTCCTCTGGTGGCCTCTGCTTTGTTGGTGGGCTGTGGTGACAGCTGTTTCTAAACTTACTAGATGGCTCGGTCTAGCTACCCTTTAAATTCTCCCAGAGCAAGATGGGGGCATTGTGTGGAATTTAAAGGAGTGGTTAGATGCAGCCGCCTGGAGGAAAGAAAAAAAGTTAGAGGGCCCAAGGCAGTGGGCCCCGCCGGAATCCGGGGGTCTTCACAGACCAAAGATGCCGAATGCTGACACCAGCCCTGCCTACAAGCAGGTAATGGTCAGGTAGCTTCATACAGAAGCAGCTCGACCCTTCAGAAATGTTGGTCCCAAACTGCTAAACTTTCAGAGGTGAAACCAGCTCTTTGAGTAGCTCCTGGAAGCAAACCCGTACAGAATCTGTAAGCTCCTTCACATGCCTGGCAGAGTAAATGTTGCAAAACAATACTTCCAAAAATCTCTTTCCGCCTTCTCCAGCCAGGTGGATTCCACCTATGTTGGACTTCAGCTCTCACCACTCCCAGCCAATATGGCCAATTTGATGGGAGTTGCAGTCCAAAGCTTCTGGGAGCCACCCAGTTGGAGAATGCTGATTGATCGTTATTTATAAACGGGTCCCAGAATGCAGCTTTGCTTGATTCAGGGCTTTAACTCGTGTTTATGTAAAGAAGAGCACACATGCCTCTTGGCAGCCCCTTCCTTTGGTTTGCCTTCTGACCGCAACCCCCACGCTCGGTGCGCTCCAGCAGTGCGTCAGTTTCGTGTCTCACGCTTTTGGTGCCAGCTGTTTGGCAAGCCGTGTGCGCTCTGCCGCTTGCTCGCCCGCCTCCGATCGACTTGCACTCTCATGGTTGGCTCACGGCCGGCTCCCAGGGCGAGAAGGGCCACTGCAGGGTCAGCGTCACACGCTCGCCCCTCCTGCCCAGGCAGGTGGGAAACTGATCCTGCCCCTGCAGGGGCCACCCTGTCGGCAGCCTGTCTTAGCCGGCTTGCTCAGCTGTCCTACGGGTTGATCGCTTTAAGGTTTCCTCCCTGTCACACTCCCACGGTTTTTCCATTTTAAATTGCTACTTACTGATAATGAGAACCCAGAAATAAACACAGGCGGATGCCGTGCAGTTGAGGAGGCCTCGGCAGGGACACTCGAGCACTGGCTGGCTCTTCGGGGCGGGGAGGGCGACTTGAGGTCTGTGCCCATCTCGTGGCAGGAGGGCCAGAGCGCTTCTCCTGCAGGACGGGTTCAGTCCTGCCATACACCTGCCGCTTGTGTGAAATCCAGCGGACACACGAAGAGTCCCGCTGGATTAGTTCGAGGCTTATCTAATCCACCCTGCTGTTTCCCACGGCAGCTGGGCAGACACGTCCAGGAATTCCACAAGCAGGCACAAGGCTGCAGCCTTCTATCCTACCGGTTACCTCTGAACAGAAGCTCCATGTTGCCATAGTTCATGGCACATTCTCCTCTCTGAATTTGTCTGATCCCCTTTTAAAGCCATCTAAGAGAAAAACCATTTATTTGCTATGCTTCTGTCCCCCCTTTCCCCCCAAAGAGCCCAAAGTGGCATACATGACCCCTTTCTCTCCATTTTGTCCTCACAAGATGCTGTAAGGTGGACGAGGTTGAGAATCATGGGACCAGTGAACTTGGGCAGCAAGAAGTGCTTGTGGGTTGAAGTGTCTTCACAGGGGGTGAAGTTGGGTAAAACAGATGGTGGGTTATGCAAAGACTGCTTAACCTTCAAATAACCCCTGCCACATGGGTTTGTACAATACAACAAGCCACAGTAAACCAGGGCTGAGGCTTGCATATCCATAATAGCAGACAGCCCAAGCCACAGTGCCCCAAGAGGGTGGCACGTCCATAGCTCAACTGCGGTGGGCCGTTGAGCTATCCAGATGAGGTCAGGGGAGGGTCCAGGGCCAGTCAGTGGCTTCCATGGCGTAGTGCTGCCTCAGATGCTGGTTTCCACCCTTCCAGTCCAGCACTCACACTGGCATATTCTTACTGGGCAGCAAGTAGCGATGACTAGTTTTTAACTAAATTAATTACAGGCATGCGGTTGGCAAGGAGAGGCTTATTTCTTCAGCCCCTTGTCATGTTTGATGGAGAACCATAACCTCCTGAGTCACTTGGAGTGTCCGGAAAGGAGTTCCCACCAGTGGTTCCGTGTGAAGATTGGCAAGTGCAAAATTCAGCACGAAGACCAGCCTTTCTGAATCTGGCACTGGGACAGTCTGGCCTAGATTCTAAAACGGGGTGGATAAACTCTCACAATGGTTTGCTCTACAACTCCCATCATCCCTTGCCACTGACTGTACTGTCGAGGACTGATGGGCATTGTAGGCCAAGGCAACCACAGGGCACAAGTAGTTCACCCCTGCTGTAAAGAATGCACGTTTTTGGTTTAAACACAATGCTTCTAGCCCTCTTGGCTATGAAAATAAATGTGAAC